AAGCTGTCATCATCAAGACAGTATGGTACTGGCACAAAAACAGATACATAGATCAATGGAACAGAATAGAGAGCTCAGAAATGGACCCTCAACTCTATGGTCAACTAATCTTTAACAAAGCAGGAAAGAATGTCCAATGGAAAAAAGATAGTTTCTTCAAGAAATGGTGTTGGGAAAATTGGACAGCCACATGCAGAAGAATGAAACTGGACCATTTTCTCACACCACACACAAAAATAGACTCAAAATGATTGAAAGACCTAAATGTGTGTTGGGAGTCCATCAACATCCTAAAGGAGAACACACGCAGCAACCTCTTTGACCTCAGCCGCAGCAACTTCTTCCTAGAAACATTGCCAAAGGGAAGGGAAGCTAGGGCAAAAATGAACTATTGGGACTTCATCAAGATAAAAAGCTTTTGCACAGCAAAGGAAACAGTCCACGAAACCAAAAGACAACCGACAGAATGGGAGAAGATATTTGCAAATGACATATCAGATAAAGGGCTAGTATCCAAAATCTATAAAGAACTTATGAAACTCAACACCCAAAATACAAATGATCCAATCAAGAAATGGGCAGAAGACATGAACAGACATTTTTCCAAAGAAGATATCCAGATGGCTAACAGACACATGAAAAAGTGCTCAACATTGCTCGGCTTCAGGGAAGTCCAAATCAAAACCTCATTGAGATACCACCTCAAATCAGTCAGATTTGCTACAATTAACAAGTTAGGAAACAACAGATGTTGGCAGGGATGTGGAGAAAGGGGAACTCTCCTACACTGTTGGTGGGAATGCAAGCTGGTGCAGCCATTCTGGAAAACAGTATGGAGTTTCCTCAAACAGTTGAAAATAGAGCTACCATACGATCCAGCAATTGCACTACTGGGTATTTACCCCAGAGATAGAAATGTAGGGATCCGAAGGGGTACGTGCACCCGATGTTTATAGCAGCAATGTCCACAATAGCCAAACTATGGAAAGAGCGAAGATGTCCATCAACAGATGAATGGATAAAGAAGATGTGGTAAACATATACAATGGAATATTTTGCAGCCATCAAAAGGAATGAAATCTTGCCATTTGCAACGACATGGATGGAACTGGAGGGCATTATGCTGAGCGAGATAAGCCAGTCAGGGAAAGACATTTATCATATGATCTCACTGATATGAGGAATTCTTAATCTCAGGAAACAAACTGAGTGTTCCTGGAGTGGTGGGGGGTGGGAGGGAGGGGGTGGCTGGGTGATAGACATTGGGGAGGTTGTGTGCTATTGAGCTCTGTGAATTGTGTAAGACTGTTGTATCACAAACCTGTACCTCTGAAACAAATAATACATTATATGTTAAAAATAAAATCTTATCTAATGGATATAAGTGTATGTGATTAGAGAGCTAAATACCCAAATTTCTTTCATATCAAAGCATCAACTTTAACATCATTGCCTTGCTGTTACTTTCCTTATCTATCTGGCTGGTTGAGAGATAATGTCTTTTAATTAGTAAGATCAGAATTAGCACCGACTTTCGTTTTCTTGGGTCAATCCAGCAAATGTAGACTTTTTGTTTATTAGATATATTTTGAACACAGAGTTTGATAATTTTCGTGATCTTACTGCTCTGTTTTCATACAGGTTTTCTATAGTGTAACTTAGATTTGTTTGTTTTTGTTTTATTTTTCAATTGAAACTTAGTTTGATTTTTCTAATTTTTTCTCCATTACTGTTGCCCTGCTCTTTTTTTCTGCAACTGTCTACCCTCACTTTGGACCCAATTCCCATGGTCTTTATTTTCAGACCATTCTTTTTATCTTCTCCTCAGTGGTTATTTTGATTTATCTAATTATTTTTAGGAGATTTTTCTTGCCTTAATTCTCCTTTTTCTGTTCTCTCTCTCAGATTCATCTTCAGTGGTCACAGTTCTTTCTTCTTTGCTTCTATTTCAGAGCATTCTGATATTTTATCCTAAGTAGTCAAGGTTTCAGATTTGACTGAGCAGATACTTTGCAATTTCATTAGAGCTTCTCAATGGGGCAGTATTAGGTGGAATTCATAATTCTTGCTACTAAGACATAAGTGTACATTTGAGTACTTTAGGCCTACATATGTAATTCTGACCAAAGTAAAGGAATCTCTGGGATTTCCTTCTCACTGTCTTTGGATCTTGCCAGTCTTTTACCATCCTGGAACAACTTTTAATTAACTTTCATTATGGGCTTGATTTCTCTTCATGTCTGGTGATAATAAAGTACATTTCAAGTCATATTAAACTTACATAGATTATATGGGGACATTATTCATGTCTGTTGCTTTTAGCTCGTTACACGTTTCTAGCTTTTAGCATGTTATATATTTTATTGCTGGGGGAAAATTATTTTTTGCCTAGTCTTTTTAATCTTTCTGGCATCGATTTCTCTTTTAGTTTAAGAGTAGCAAAACAGCCTCTGTATTCAGAGCATTGTGGCTATGATTGCTAATATAATGAGTTTAGTTTATGGAAACGGTTCCAAAGTAGCATACAAAGCAATCAGCTGGATACATGAGAGCTTCAAAAAATATGACTCCTTTGTCTCCTAGGCTAACCAAAAACAGCTATGTGGAGCCTGGAATTTCCGTAGGAATTCCATAGCAATTTGATTTGATAACTTTCTGACACGTCATTTATATTTCAAATAATTCTCTATGTTAATTAGTTGACAGTCACAATATCTCTAGTGCACATGTTATGGTCCACAGAGTAATGTCATGGATTTTATTTTCTTCCAACAGTTTATTATGAAAAATTCAAACCTACAAAAGAGTTGAAAGAAGAGTATAATGAACTTTCTTTAACCCTATGTCTAGATGCAATAATGTTGTTATTTTGCTGTATTTGCTTATTTATGTATGTATACCTACGTGTGTGTTTGTGTGTATTTTTGAACTGTTTTATATATTTTATTTTATTATTATTATTTTTTAAAGATTTTATTTATTTATTTGACAGGGAGAGACACAGCAAGAGAGAGAACACAAGCAGAGGGAGTGGGAGAGGGAGAAGCAGTCTCTCCGCTGAGCAGGGAGCCTGATGCGGGGCTCGATCCTAGGACCCTGGGATCATGACCTGAGCTGAAGGCAGATGCTTAACCAATGGAGCCACCCAGGCGCCCCTATTTTTTTTTTTTAAGATTTATTTATTTAGAGAGAGTGAGCAGGGGGAGGGGCAGAGGAAGAGGGAGAGAGAATCTCAAGCAGACTCCACACTGAGCGCGGAGCCCAATGCAGGGCTTGATCTCATGACTCTGAGATCATGACCTGAGCCAAAATCAAGAGTCAAATGCTTAACTGACTGAGCCACCCAAGTGCCCCTTGAATTATTTTAAAGTGGAATCTATGAAACTTTGTGCTGAAATCTTTCAGAATACATTTCCTACCAATAAGCATATTCTCTGATAACATTTTAAAAATTACTTTATGATTCCTTATTCATAAATGTGGTTAAATTATTATCATCAGTTTCCTTTCTACTTCTGATATCCACTGTTCTTAAATTACGTCTAATGAAGAGAACTCAGAATTAGATACCCTATATTTCAAATTAATTTTAGTTCTTATTTACTATGCTGTGACTGGATGGAAGATTTTCTTTTTTCCCTTTCAGAAAGAAAAAGATAGTAGCTTCTCTAATCATACAAAATTGTTCTTGCTTTTTATTGTGGGTCAGATTCCAGAATAGATTTTTTAGGTGAGTTGTGAGCATATAGATGAGGAAGAGGTGATCACCAATAAAACTGGAAACCACTATTCTTACTTTATTTCCTAGTATTTTATTGTATCAGGGAAATGCAGTAAACACTTGGTCTCCCCTGAAGTAATTGTCATATATAACACTTGTAGTTCGAGTGGAGAGCAATATAACTCAGAGGGAGTTTTCTGATGGGTGAAGATATTTATTATTTGACCTTTTATGGAAAAAATTTGCCCATCCTTTATCTAGAATCTTATTCTATTATGTTAGTTTGTATGTGTGACTATATCTAAATCTATGTGAAAAGGGCAATTAAAAAATTGTTGAATAATTATTAGGCACTTGGATATGTTCAAGAATTACTATAATGGGGGCTCCTGGCTGGCTCAGTTGGTGGAGTGTGTGACTCTTGATCTTGGGCTTTTGGGTTTGAGCCCCAAAATAATCTCTGGGTGTAGAGATTATTTAAAAATAAAACCTTAAAAAAAAAAAAGAACTAGTGCAATGAATTTCTTTGGGTGAAATAGTATAACTTTTGGATGACTTTAAAACAGACCTTAAAAGATATGGAGTCACAATTGAAATTTTGAAAATTTTAAGGTTAAGGTTTATGTTGGTTCATTGTCCTCAAGTTCAGATAGCAGTGATCTGGGAATCAAACTCTGGCCTTGTTTCTGACTTATTGACTCACTGGGTTACAATTTAATGGTTTTTTTTTTAATAGTTAATTAAATACATTTAGAACTCTTTGGAAAGGAAGCATCTGAAAAGTATGAAAGCATTTCTGAATCACGTTTACGTGTATTAGGTACCTTTATATGCAGGTTGTAATGAGGAATGTTACATAGTAAGGATGGAGAATAGCAAAGACATTGTGTTTAGTTTTTCATAAAGGGTTTGAGATGTTTTTCATATATTTTTATATGTATATTTTAACTTTTCTACCTAAGCTTCTTGAGACTGTATTTGGACCGTATAACCTAGATATTTCTTACATTTAATGTGACCAGATACACTTAACACCATGATATTTGCTGAATATTTTAATGGCCATTCTTTATTGGCAAGTAATATCTCAAGTAGTTGACCAGAGCCTTTATGTTCATTTAATTCTACTTTGTAGTTCTACTTTTCTTGTGATTTTTCTGGACTATCACAATGTGAGGATCAACTGTGTTTACTGAAATTCGGATTGTGTCATGTGGGGATCTGTTTCAAGTTTGGAAGTCCCTTAAGAAGTCTGATGCATCTCGCCCTCTTTCCTCAGCTTGCAGCCGTTTGTGATGTATTTGTGGAAAACTACGTCCCTGGCAAACTGTCTGCCGTGGGCCTGGGATATGAAGATATAGACAAGATTGCTCCTCACATCGTCTACTGTTCCATCACAGGTATTTCGACCCCACACCCTTGTCAATGACTAGATTTTCCAGTTATTGGGTTTCTTTGTCCATGTAAGAAACCTCTTGCTAGTGTTGGTTTTCTTGAAGTGATTCTGTTCTCCCTAGCCCTCACCTTTCAATTAATCATTAAAGAATATTAACCGAAATGAAGATTTTTCCTGTATTTATTGGCTGTTTGTATTTCTTTTTTTTTTTAAAAGATTTTATTTATTTATTTGAAAGAGAGAGACATAGCGAGAGAGGGAACATGAGCAGGGGGAGTGGGAGAGGGAGAAGCAGGCCTCCCGCTGAGCAGGGAGCCTGATGCGGGGATCGATCCTAGGACCCTGGGATCATGACCTGAGCCGAAGGCAGACGTCCAACAACTGAGCCACCAAGGCACCCCTTGGCTATTTGTATTTCTTCTTGAATTGTATGCCTATAGCTTTTTGCCAACTTTTCTATTGATATTTTACAGACATTTATAAAGTACTGTTAATTCATACGTAGAATTGTAGGTGCAACATTAGTTGGCTTTTGGGTAGCACAGGAAATTAACATATCCCTTTAATTTATTCAAAAGTGTTAAGCCCCAGGTGAAGGAAAGAGTGCTATAAAGTCCTCCAGATTGTTTAGCTAGGGAATGTTGTGGGTGTTTGTGTGTGTGTGTGTGTGTGTGTATTTAGGTCCAAGGAAAAAAGGTTATCATATTAGTTAAACATATTTTTAAGCACTTAACTATTAATTAGGGATGCAATATAGAAAAGTGGCTCTGAAAATTCTGAGTTACATTAATAGTTTTTATCAGAAAAATTCCTAATATTTGCAGTCTTTACTCATCTACCAAATATTTACAGCAGGCCTATGATTTGCCAGGCAATATTCTAAGGTTCTGGGATGTGGCAGTGAATAGTACATATTTATGTTCTCATGGAGGTTTGCATTATAGGTTAGGGAGATAGACAGTAAATAAATGAACATATTCTTTAGTTTTTTTTGTAATTGAGGCCGGTAGTGATAAGGGCTAAAGAGAAATAAAGTAGGGCAAGAGGGATAGGGTTAGGAGGAGCTATTTTATACTTGGAGATAAGAGAAGGCTTCCTTGGGGGCACCTGGGGAGCTCAGTTGGTTAAGCACCTGCCTTTCACTCAGGTCATGATCTGGGGTTCTGGATCGAGTTCCGTGTTGAGCTCCATGCTCAGCAGGGAGCCTGCTTCTCCCTTTCCTTCTGCCCCTTCTCCCTCATGCTTTTTTCCTTTCTCTCAAATGAATAAAAAAAAAAAAAGAGAGAAGACTCCCTTGATAAGGTGACATTTGAGCAGAGACCTGGAAGAAGTAAAGGAGTGAATCATGTAGATATTGGCAAAGATGGCTTCAGGAAGGAGAAACAGCAAGTGCAAAGGACCTAAGGCAGGAATATGCTGGGCATATTTGAGGACCATCAAGGGTGGCTGAAGCAGAGTGAGCCAAGGGGAATGTAACAGGAAGAAAAACAGGGAGATGTTGGTTAGCAAGATCACGAAGAGCTTGTTGGAAACTCTTAAGGATTTGGCTTTTACTTTGAATAAGTTTGTAAGTTAATAGAGTGTTTTGAACAGAAGAATGGTATGAACTGACATATTTTTAAAAGGATCACTTTAGCTACTGTGTTGAGAATAGACTGTAGGGGACAAGGGTAGAAGTAGAAGAACAATTGTGAAGCTATTGAACTACTCCAGGCTAGAGATGCTGGTGGCTTGAATTAGGGTAGGAGTGGTTGAGGTGGTTGAGGAGCAATAGGATTAAAACTGTTTCTTTATTAGTCATGAAGTAATAATAACCAAAATACTCCTGTTTCTATGCATTCAGGTTAATTGAGATATAATAGTACTTTGACTATGACATATTACTTTAGTATAAATAATGCTTTTCACAGTATAATTATGTAGTGCTTTTTTATATAAATTAAGCTATAACTGCAGTGTTTGGTTGGTATTATTTTAGAGAGAATGATGAGCCCAATGATCATTAACTTCTATACTGAATCAGCATGAGAGACAGGGTCTGTACATAGTAGATGACTCTTTGCTGCTAAATCTGACTCTTTCTTAGATGTACTATTTTATAGATATGTAATCACACTTCAATTTTTATGTGTATATATCAATATTTATATGTGTCAGAGAGAGGGAAAGATTTTTCCTTAAAAATCTCACAGTCCAGTGGAAATGTGGAGGTCTAAATTACTAAAATAGGGAAAATATTATGTTCAAATTACCTTATCATAAAAATGCTACATATCTAGGAAATGTGAAATCTTCTATGACAGTAAGTATTTATTTCTCATTCCCATGAATTTGCATTGGCTGAGGTTCAGCTGATCCAGACTGATTAGATTCCAAGTTTCGGGTTGGGGTCCTGGTGTGCTCTACCTGTCTCTTATACTCCTTGGACCTGTGGCTACCAAATGCATGTTTTCTTTATAGTGAAAGGCAAGAGTACAAGAGAATGAGCCTAACCTCACAAGCACGTTTAAAGCATTAGCTCACATCCCATTTGCTTGCATTCCTTTGGTCAAGGCAAGTCACTCAACCAAGCCCAATACCAATGCATGGTGAAATATATTCTACTCTCGTGGCAGGAACTACAGAGTTACATGGCAAAGTGTAGATTTCAAGAGGAGTAAAGATTAGGAATAATAATGTATTTTATCACATCCTCCAGCCAAACAAAATGCTAATCTACTTGAGGGGCACCTGGGTGGCTCAGTCGGTTAAGCATCTGACTTCAGCTCAGATCATGATATCAGGGTCCTGGGATGGAGCTCCACATCGGGCTGCCGGCTCCGCACTTGGCGGGGAGTCTGCTTTTCCTCTCCCTCTGCCCCTTCCCCTGCTTCTGTGCTCTGTCTCTCGAATAAATAAATAAAATCTAAAAAAAAAAAAAAGCTACTCCACTTGGGAAGCCTCACAGTTCCCAAAGTTTCACATCTATCACTGACTATAGTTAGAGCCAAAGTTCTTCTGGGTCTTGGCTTGTGGTTAGAGAATCTCTGAGTTTTCTTCCAGTTCTCAGATCCCATATTAACATTTAAGGGTATCAAAGGGCCTTGTAGATAGATTGTATAATGCAGAATTTCTCAGCTAGGGGGGGAGTGGGGATTTGATAAGCTTTTCAGTGATAGGGATGGGAGGAATAAGGAGATGATGGGGAGAGGCCTTTGCAGTCTGAACAAGCACCTTCCATAATTCTGTAATCCTCTACACCCCCATCTCCTGACAATCATGAGAAAAACATCCATACAGTTCATTCTCCTTTATTTCCTGATAAGGAAACAGGTTCAGAATGTCCAAGGGCACAGCTATTTAATGCCAGATGGCTTTAAAACTCAGGCCTCTTGACTAAATATTAAGTGCCTCTATGCTTTCCATATTTAGACATTTATCATTGTTATATGTTATATTGTTATATTGTTAGGTGATGACATGGACTTTGTGATTACAAGACACTGAACAGCTTGACTTGAGAATAGTATATTCTTGCTCTTTTCTCTCGTTTGTTGTTAATCATATTTACTCATCAGGGAGTCTAAATGTCAACAGAATCTTTGGAAGCAGAGGTCATTTATGAGTCATGAATTTGTGTGTATATAAAGTAAGGGCCACCTCTTTTGTAAAAGTTTGATATTCTTGGTAATCAGTGTTTGTTTTTGATATTTTTTAATAAGACTGATTAGATCAGTCTAAAGTTGCACATGTTATGATTGGGATCCTGAACTTTCCTGATGTTTCCCAGTGGCATTAGTGTTCTGTCAGTGCTGTCCAAGCCCAGATAGTCTGTTCTCACTCACATGTTGGCCTTATTGCTGATGAGAGTAATCTTAGAATGGTTGGAAGATTTATTTTAATGCACTCTGACAGTTCTGTGGTTGAGATTGCCTCAGTCTGTGAAATCTGGTCTGCAGGACAAGAATGTTAGACTGATCACAAGGGAGGAAGGACCTGATTCTTTTTGTTAGCAAGGTCCTCTTATCATTTCAGAGTATGAACATTAGGGGGCAGTGTTTAAAAAGCTATAATTCACTAGGAATTACTTTTTGAGAAAACTTGTGTTTCCTCTGTACCAGTGGGTAGAGAAAATCTCGGAAAGGGTTTATTTATATTTTTAAAGAAGTTTTGTTTTTTAAACTGACCATTCTCTACCTCTCTATACTTTTAGAAGTATAATGATATTCTCCATGGCGCTTTAATTTTAAGTTGTGCCTTCTTTCCTTTGTTTCTTCTGAGCATGTTATTAATTATAAAAACTTAGCAGTAAAAATCCTACCACATTTTAAAATATTTACTTTTTTCTTATTAACTTCATTACTCTTTTTTCCTAGAAGGATAAACATTGCATTATATTATTGATTAGACTAATTTTGTGGAAGGAACATTGTGTATGCCCTTTAATAATTTTCTGGGGGTTGGGAAAGGGCTTTGCAAAGTACCTTTCTGATTTTTGTGAATTTCCCAAAGGCATTTTCTTAAGCTCTGTCCTTGTATGGACAGATTACAGGATTCTGCTTGAGGATAGGTCCTCAAGAGGGACCTCAGAACTCATATCAAAGAGAATATTTTAGAGAGTTAGACCCATTCTTTAGTTTTAAATAGAAAAAAGTCTGAGAGCTCTACTTATGAGCTAAGACTAGCTAAGACAGTTTTAAGGAAGAACCTGGTAGGCACATTTGCCCTGTTAGATATAAAGACTGATACAACCCGTAGTAATAAGACGGTGTGGTATTAGTATAAGGATAAAGAAATACATCGATGGAACAGAATAGAGAGCTCAAACATGCTGGCATATGTATGGAAACCTGTTTTTTTAGGGCTTATACTCTAGATCATTAAAGAATAGAATATGCAATAATTGATGGTGGAACATTGGTTATCCTTATGGGGAAAGATAAAATTCATCTTGAGTTTATTCTGTGTAGTGACATAATATTGATTTAAGCTCTAAATATAAAAAGTAAAACTTTAAAACTTTTA